TTTATTTATTTATTTTTTTTGCTCTTGTCTTTAAGGGCTTCCGTAGATTACAGTAGTTTACGTCTGTTGTAAATAAAACTGATCCTAAGAGTATTTGCACTTTTGGCAGAATTCTGACCCCATATTTGCATTTATAATGAATTTAATTAAATTATTTGATTTTATGTCCAGAAAGCACAATTAGGTTCATATTAACCAGATACAGATTTTTTTGTAATTCAAAGTTGAAACAGATCCAGATTTTCTTATAAACATCCCCGAATTCCTCTAAATATACAGACAATATTCAGCAAAATAACTTTTTTCAAACGCTGCATAAAGAACCATCAGCAGATGTTTCAGCCTAAAGCTGCGACTTTAAAATCAGATTCAGATATTCCTTTTTTTTTAACTGTCCTGTCTGGCAATGTTGCAATAAGAACAATTGTCTTGATGCCAAAAAGAGTCCAACAGATTTTACTTTCACAAGTGGAGCAGTACAGCTATCCCCATAGTGTTCTGCTTGATTTATGCATATAAATAGCTTTATTATAATTATGCAGGGAGGTTTACAGATTGTATGGACACTGCAATGTAAGTAGAACAGGAAAAAAGGAGAAAAGATGAAAGAAAGAGGAGATAAAAGGGAGATAAGGATAAAGATTCAGATATTCTGTCGACACGAAGCGGTCAGATGTCCCGGTTCCACAGGAACTTCTCTCCTTTCTCTCCCCTCCTAAATGCGCCAACAGCTCGAACGTTTTGATGGACATGAGACTCATCACGCTCAAAGGAAGGAGCTTCCCACCACCAGCTTTACGTCTCTAGAGGCAATTTAATGGTTTATTGATGTGAGGATGGATTCTTTATGTTCCTGGTGATGAATGTGTTTTAAAACAACTGTTTTTTTAACTCTGGGAAACCTTTACGCCCTCCAACAGCACTTAAAGTTCTGTGAAAAACCACCAAACCTATTATGGGTCAACATGTATGCAAATCAGTCCCTGCAGCCGAAGCATTAAATTGGCCTGAATTCAAAGAATCTAAGATAAATCTGAACTTTATCTCATTAAACAGAACTCTGCAATGATGATGATGATGATGATGATGTAAGCAGTGAAATAAATCACCTTTAATTAAACCTACACACAGTCCGGGTAAAAAGAAAGTACACCTTCTCTAAATGATTGGGTTTCTACACCGAGGAACAATATAAACGGATTTGAGCAAATTTATCCTACAAACAACAGTTCCCAGGGTCTCCATGGTAACCGGCTGCAGGACACTGCATTACTTGAAATCTAAACCAATTCCTTTTGAAATAGGCGTTTCCTCCTGCATTCAGTAGAAAAAAACTCTCCTCCAGACAAAATACACACATGACTTCTTATAATCCCGTAAACTTTGGGAAAATATTAGTTTTAAACAGATATGTTGCATCGGATGCTATCAGAGTTTTATTAGCCTGTTTAATCTGCAAACAATATGAGGTGCGGATCGGAACCAGAGGCTCAGTGAAATTCAGAACGAACAGATCGATGGAGACTCAATGAGTTCACAAAGAGAAGATTAATGTTTGCTGAAAACAATGTTTCCCAATCGCACTGCAAAAACTGAGCTAAATCTATTAAAACTGCTCTTATCAAGTGTGTTTGTCCTTAATCTTATCAGGTAAATACGTTGATCTGGAAGATAAAATATGATAATTTGATATTATGCACTTGAAATACATTTAATATTCCTTTTTTATCATTACTCTAAACATAAGTCATGATATTCTGCTGGTAAATTGTCTTTTATTTGTCTCCTCAAATCAAGGGAAAGTAGACTTGACACAAAGTGACTGCCGTATGTTTCATTTTTTGCAGTGTGTATATTTTCCATGGAAATTTTAAAGGTACTGTGGAGGATTTATTAAAAGACCCACCCTCTGCACTTTAAAGTCATAGGGAAATCATATTTAAATGTCAAATCATTCTGGCTTAAACATGTATATAAATGTACTCTTTATCAGACCATATTGGCCGAAAACATTTCTATCATTAAAAAATCTTGTCTAAAAATCTGTTTTTTTTCCATTATCTTCTGCAGGCCAGTTAGTTATCCGTCAGCTTGAACACCTAAATTCTGCCAATCATATATCAACAGTCATCTGTCAATCAAATCTTTTCGGTCATAGCATCTTGATTCATGTGTTGCGGCTAATATACGCAACGGTTGAAGTAAGAAATCACAACAATGTCCTTTCCCACTGAGTTCTGTCCCAGTGTTCACGGGGATGGACGTTCGGGTCTTCAGCAGGCGTAGAGCTAACAGAACTGGCAGCGTTG